GCTTACTGATGCAATTTGCCATAATAATATTTAAGTAGGTGATCTTCTGTTGTTTTGTTGTTTTTTTTTTTACTATCCTATCTACTCTTTCAGATACAGCTGAAGGCAGGATGCGTGTGTTTGTCCAGCTTAGCAGTATACATATTTATAATTTAAAGCCAAATCCTGTTCCAAAGTAAAGGAAATAGTATTCTCATAAGAGACTCAGAGAACTGGACCTTTGTTTGCCTGGCCAAGTAAATACCAACTCACTGAAGGAGTGTAGAATTAAATCTAAGTTTCCAGCTTGGTGCAGGGATAGGTGAAGATCTGATGATCACTGTCTCAAAATTTCCATTCCAAAGCCCTATTTCTCTACTGTTCTCTACTTTTTAGCTAACCTTAAGCAGCCGGTTGAAATTTCTGTCTGCCTTGGGTTATTTTCTTTTCAGCGTAGGAAAAGAAGAAAGAAACATTTCCAGGAAATATACGTTAGAATATTTTCCAGCAGTCATGTTTTTCAGAGGCAGGCAGAGAAAAGTTCAATTGCTCTTGTCACTGTAAAATGTCAGTGAATATTTTTCTTGGCTGAGAAATTCTAGCTGTCTTTTATGACCCTGACATCTGACATAGGATGACCTTGCTGGTGGCCTTGACATCTTTGTGGAAGCTCAATTAAATCTGAGCAACAGAAAAATAAAATCTCACATAGTGTACAGGCTTAGTACAGACTTCATAGATTTTTGAGAAATGAATTCTGCAAAAAATGCCAGTGTTAAGGTCTGTTGCCTCATAGGAAAACCACAATGCATTGTATTTCCATTCCATCTCCAAGCTATCATCAGTCTCTTAGGTGCTCCATCATCTCCAGCATGTCAGCAGCTGATTCCAAAGGATCCTGTTTTGTCAAACAGCTCTTTGTTAGCAGTTTAATCTTTGGAAGCTGCTCTGGGTCAGAGAACATCAAGAAATCCTGTATTTAGAATAAGTAATATTTACATTTGGCTGCCTTGTATTTTTTCTCTACAGAAATATTGATCTTTCTTCCCAAGAAAGGACCTGAAAGACCCCAGGGCACAAGTTTCTAATGACAGGCTCAGATAAAACCCAACACACTCTTTCGGGACAACATTTACATGCAAGCTTTGATTTTTATGGATTATAGCCCTTAGCTGTCATGGGAGACAAAGCTCAAAATAGCACAGACCTTGTCAAAACCTCTGCAGCAAGGACACTAAAAGCACCCAACAGCTGTCACATACAGGAACCCCTGGAATTTGCTGCTCACTAAAGATTGGCCAGCATTTCTTGAACAGACCATGCTACCTGTTCCCCTGCACTGGGGATGTTGCCAAAGGTATTTGCTTATGTTAATCTACCCTGTGAATTAAAGGTGAATTTAATTTAAAAAATTAACATTTTTTTCTTTCCCATGTTTCTGATAAACTCCTCTTCCTGAAGTCACCAACTCCTACTGAGTGAGGAAGTTTCATGCACCTGTTTATATAAAGGGAAACAAAACTGTCATTTCCTAAGTTTTTCAGCTTCTTTTAGTAGAATTCCTCTCACCTCCTTTTATATCTCTGCCTAAGCTAAAAGCAATCTGTGCTAGACAGGTACTCTTTGGCACTTTGGGCACCCTTTTTGGGAGAGGAGTGAAGCAAATACTGGGGTGAGATTGTGCTGACCTATTTACACCAGATGCCTTGCACCTCACAGTGTCTGCTTCTCTCTATTACTGCAAAAAGAAAGTTGGAGTGATTGGTTCAAGATGTCTGTCTTTGGTGAGTTGAATTCTAACCTTTATTTGCAGGTACTCAAATAAGTACCTGAAAATAAAGGCTAGAATTTAGCGTTTAAGTGTTTAAGCTTTGACTGAGAATAAGGAATAATTGGCAATTTTCTGGTTGAAAGGTGTTGTTGTGATAGTCAGCAGGAATGGGTTCTAATAGATTTTAATTGATCCAGCTTAGCTGTACCTACCCTATCTGCCCTAACTGAGCTTTGTTTAATTCAGCTAAACATATTTAGGTGATAACACTGTGCTCAAAACAGGACACAAGCTTATCAAATATTGTAGTTAACATCATTTTTAAAAACACATTTTCAAAGTCTGAAAATTTCTTCCCCCTGTAATTATAAGTGTATGCATTTTACTGAAGTAGCTGCAACTTGCTTTTCCTTATCTTAACTGTAAATGACCCTATTCATTTGTAGCTAAAATTGTCCTCCCCAGAGTGCACTGGCTTCAGCAGGATTACAACTTGCATGATTTTAGCTGATAGACTCTCCTGCAGATACATAACCTAAAGAAGTAACACATTCCTGGCAATACATGATAAAAGAAGCGCTTGGCAAAGGTCAGCTTTTCAGATGTCTCATGGAAATCTCATTAAGTACAGTCTTCTGATAGGTCCTCTTCTTCTGCCTCAATGTCTGTACCAATTGTCCTGAATTTCTGATTGAAGTTGGGCATCTCAGTGACTTTTCTAACAAGTTAGAAGGTTCCAGTATAATTAAAATAACCTCAAAGTCAAATTTAACAGGTGAGAATTTTGATAAAACTCTTTGAATTAACTCTATTGTATCCAAGTAAAACAATCTTTAAATTATCAGTCCTTCTGAATGCTAAGATTTGAGTGAATGTCAGGCAAATTCCTAAATATTTGAATAAAAAAGCCTTGCTGAAGCAATTTTTCTCTATTAATGGTACCTATGCCAAAATGAAACCCTTGTGCAAGCAGGGCCTATCTTCTTTTCAGTTTTCCATTTTAAATCCAAAGTTTCCCTTCATTTCAGCTTTCTATTTGAAATCCTAACTTTTGTCTGCCATGATGACTTGTTGTTAAGCTGCTGTTAAAAGTCTAGGTTGGTGCATATGCTAAAAGAGTGCAGGTAATGGAGATCAGAAAAAGAAAGTAGATGATCCAAAAGTTTTGATGATCTCTAGCTCAGTGTTGAGGGAAAACTCATCACTACCAGCATTGTTTCGGCCTACAAACTCCAGAAATGGTTTAAGCTGAGCCCCTACAAACAGAGAAATGTTAATATTTATGTGGTGACATTTTGTTTGACCATCAAGCCAGTTTTCAGCTGACAGACTGCTGTAAAATAAAAAGATGGACAGCAACTAAAAAAGAATAAAATTAAGCTGTGTATTAGATATGAATCAATTACAGAGTGAGATGACAAGCTCATTCTCTTTGCTGCTGGAGGTGGGGAAGCAGAGTACTCCATGACCTTGAGGTTTCTTTCAGAGCACAGTTGCTTTCCTTACATGCACAGCAATATGTGAGCTTAAAGGCTTGCTCTTAAAATCTGCATTACATTCCCCTTTAGGAAGTTGTAAGTTACAGAGAGTCTTCATTCATGTTTTAGAAGAGTCTGTATGCCAGTTTTCTGCTCTTGCACTTGTTCAGGATGCTTGATCCCAGCATTACAGAGATCCCTGCAACCTCTGCTGCATTGCAAAGGCCTTGGATTGAGGTGGCTGCCAGGAGGCTGAGCAGTAAGGACACATCAGCTCCAAAGAGCTAATGGTGAGTTCCATGGGGCACTGCAGGGGTTAAACTCACTGCCATCCTCTCTGCTCATGTGCAGAAGGACTTGTGTCATGTGAGCTTTTGGTCAGCACGAGCCTGCAGGATGCCCTTGCCCACTTCAGTAAACTTCAGTCACTTGTGTTGTACTGAACTAAGAAGGAAAGCCCTGCAAATTTGAAACCTAGAAGTAACCCCCATGAGACACTCAGCTGTCCCAAATATAGCTGGGACAGCTCAATGTCTGGTGAGGGCCCCAGTGGAGGCATCACTCCATTGGGGATGTGAATTCCTGTGGAGAACCCTCAGCCCAAGTCACAGAGAGTATCTCCTGAGACACTAAAGAAAAAAATAATGGAGTCCATTCAAAGGCAAGTAGGTGGTAAATGTTTCCATGGATTACAAAAGATGAAGTAGCCCACCAGATGTTGGAAGATGCAAGTACTTAATCCATAGAAGAAAAAAGCTGCAGGGATATCTCATGCCTCTGGAAAACTGCAGAAGGACAGACTTCACAAGCCCAGTGCTGTCCACTGACTCAGCTTCAGTCTCAGCCTTATTGAGGGGTATGAGATACAGGAACAATCTACCAATATGCTGGTAATTTAAATGACAGATGCTGATAAGTACTTTTTTCCCTTCCTGCCTGAGCTTTACTCAAATTCTTCCATTAAAATATATAATTGAGTACCTAGACAGTTGCATTTTGATTTGCATCTCTTGCCAACCCAATATATCTTTCAGATAAGCCTTTCATGCATTACTTTTAATAATAATGTCTTAAATTAAAAGGCTGCTTCCATCAGCATAATGAAGCAAGATAGCCAAGGAAAATAGCTATGTGCCTGAGAAAATCATTAAAGTAAGAAAAAAAATCCATGAAAAAGGGATGATAATGAGAAAAATATTGAGCCTCAAAGATGACAATACTGAAAGGAGAGACTGCATTTAGGGTTTACTTACTGTATGAGAGGGGCTGTTTTTCCAGAGATCTTGCCTTTTTTTTTTAATTCTAAGAAATGACATAAAATTTTGGCAACTCAGTTACTTTTAAATTGCCATAGGCATCTAGGAGTTTACTAGCACAAAACCTGTGCCTGATAGTGCTATCAGGGATAATCCTTTATGCTACTTATGTAAGTGTTAGTTTTAATGATTTCCCTTCTTCCAACACTGAGAAACCTACAACTTAATAATGACAAACACTAGAGCTGCTCAAAGAAGGCAATTTATTGTAATCAAGATATGCTTTCTAATTACCCTCCTGGTCTCTATTTAAGCAGCAGATTGTGCTACTTATATTTATCTTAGAAATGCGTTGTCCATATAAAATCCTTTTTTAAAAAGAAATATTTGAAAAGGTACTGAAAAATATTATAGAGATTAAAAGGAACTTGCAAAGTGAACACTAATGAGGCACGTGCTTGCCTTTGAATTGCATTCCCTCTTCCTCTCCCTCCCATCTTTATCTCTTATCTTCAGGCAGCCACGGCAGCGTTAAACAAGACAAGCAGTTCCCATCTGACTCCTCTCTGCCTGTGTGCTGAGCTGTGCCGCTGCTCCTGGCAGGCTGTGGGCACTCAGGGGCTCTGCAGGAGGAGCTGACACACATCCAGCCTCAGACAGGTGCTGTAAACCGGCTCCCTGCTCGCCGTGACTACGCAGAGACAAAAGGCTCTGCCTGGGACACAACAACCCTTGGCTCTGGAGCACAGATGGTGTGCAAGTGCTTTGTGTGACACGAGGTGTTAGAAAGTGCCCAGCTCACTAACATGTGCTGTCAGGACCTGTTTTCTCCAAGCTGCCAGCCTGTCATTGTCTTTTGGAAACCAGCATGAAGCCAGGAAAACCATTTCCATCAGAAACAGAAGCTCTGTTTATACTTCACTTTCATTTTCTCCTACCAGGTAATTTCTCTCTCTAATGTCACCACAGGTATTATAGTAGAATTAAGGAACAGCCAAAATTTCTCTTTCATTACATAAAAACCCATAACTAGAAGAGAGAAAATAGGTTTTAAAAATGACAAGAGTAAAGGAAAGAGAAGCTTTCAAACCCAGCATTCCCCACACCTGAATCTGCTGAACTTCCCAGATACAGTATAAAAGTCTTCCTTTTCTCTATGAATTGTACAACTGGCAGCTGGAGGAATTCCTGGCCAAGGTAAAATCCAACTTAGAAGTAGGAAATAATGCAAGTTTGGGAACTTTGTCTTTCTGTATATGTTCTTCATGGAATCAGCAAAGGCTTGGAAGGGCTGAAATTGGCCCCTATTCTGATCTATTTTTGACTAAAATCTGTTGGTTTCTTAAACAGTACCATGAACCAACAGGATGACTTTAGTCCATTTTAGAGCTACCCAGTGACATTTTTGATTTTTTCTCTTATGACAAATGCAGCAACCTTGTCTTTACCTCTTACTGTAAGACTTTAAAAAATGCAGTTTGCTGTATCTCTCAGAGTGTGGACACAATCCTGAGATGGTAGGGGTCAGAACTTGTGTAGATATAGATGAGGGTAAGGAGACCTGAACATGGGAACACATCAGCCTTAAGGGTCTTTCTTCCTCTAGCAAAACAAACAAACAAACAAAAAAAACACCACAAGGTGGTTAAATACCTTAGAAAGTCTGAATGTCAAATGGTGGCACATGAATACTCTGTCTCAACATATGGAATTTTCAGGTTCATTTATGAGCAATCATATTTCATGTTCATTTGCTCAGGCAATTAAATGATTGCTGAAGATTTACTTTGTTTCTTTTTGCTTGATTATTCAATAACATTATTATTGTTTGTTTTATTATTAATCTCAGTGTTAAATGACAATTTTTTCTCATGATATTGTTGCAGGAAGATTTACCCTTCTGTTTTTAAACATTTTTGTATTAAAACTAATTGAATACATTACCACTGAAATGTTATCAATGTTAAGCTGTTATATTTGAATGATTGCAGGAAACAAGGATTTTGAGATTTCACCTTTGTTGTTAAAAATCTACAATTAGGCTATGGAAAACGTTACTTGGTGAAACTGCACAAGGCAAAACCAGAAATAAAATCAAGCATACGGTGGCTAATACAAAAATGGAGAAAAGTGTTCTCACAAAATATCTTTGTGCTGCTGGGCTTTCCATCTTCAAAATGTCTTGCAAAGGTTAAGTCTTTAAAATATATCTGTGCAATGAAGCATTATATTGGCACCATTGTTTCTTTCCCCTCAGTTAAAGTAGATGTTGAGTGTTTAAATGTCCAAGGCTGTGGAGAAGGTCGCTCAGATCTAGCACTGCAGGCTAAGCTGCTTCTGCAGTGCCTGAATTTCTCAGACTTCTTCATTTATTCAGTCATCCTTCTGTCATCCACTGCTTTGCTTTTCTCAACTGATTGTCCTCTTTGACATCTTTTCCTGGCTGGACTGCAGCTTTCCACTGCACTCAGTGTGCTCAGATTGCCCCATTAAACCTTCAATAACCCCACAGGTCAACCCTCACTTGGCTGTGTTTCCCTGCTCCCACTTGAGGCTTTTTGCAGTGCAGACTTTTCTCTCCTCCTGTTTTACTTTAAGGAAAGGTCAGTCTGGCAGAGGTCAGCAAAACTCTGTATTCAACCTGCTTTGCAGAACCCCTATGGAAGACCCAACCAAATGAATTTGATCTCTAAAGCAGGTTCATCCCAAACACATGTATAAAGTCTCTGTGTGTCAGGGTAGAAAGCAACTCACCATCTCCTGTGTCAGGAATCACCTTGGAAAAGCTGCCTCTGGGAATAGGACTGGTAGTAGGAATTCAATCAGCCTTAGCAACACTGGATACTGCCAAAAACCTGCAAGAAAGCAAAAAAAAACGTAATATAGGCTCTGTAAATGACAATGAATGATGTCTCCTTCAGGGAAAGGAAAAGATTCTTCAGGCCTAATCTGTAGCTTTCAGGATCTCTCCAAATAGCTGGGAATGATTGTTTAAAAGCTTAGAGACCAGTGCTAGGAGCTCCCCCTGCTCAGAGTTCACACAAGAGCATGGCTGGTGATGACAGAAATACTTTGGAATGAGCTAATGACCAGCAAGGGCCTTGCAGGATTAGACACGCCAGCAATCGACTCCACTTGAGGAACCGGAGAAATTGAAAGGTCTGACTTGTACTTTGCTGAAGATAAACGACCTGTTAAAGCAAAGGGGAAGGAAGTTTAGCCAAACCAGCAGTTTTAGTGTGTCTCAAGCTTTTAGCACCCGGGTGCATCTGTCAGGTTCTAATTGTCAACTCCCACTGACTGCAGCAGGAGCCCAGGGCACTTGGCATTGTGCAGTATTAACCTGCTGTTATTAAGCTAAAGAGATAAACATGCCAGAGTATGTGATGTTTGAACTGCAAGGCATTGTTTCTTGCATTCTCCCAACTTTAATATATTTTTTTCCCAGTTAGCAGTGTCTCACAGCAAGCAACTGCCTAAAGAGGAAACATAATGCAAAAAAATATGCACTGTGAAAAGTCTGCACTGTGAAGTGCAGAAATATATCATTCTACCAAGAGTAGGCTGATTTAATTTTAAATATAAAATCTTTAAATAGCTAATGTGCTTAAAATGTAGAAAATCAGATAACAAAAGCAGTTCTTGTTTCAAAGGAGAATAGCAGTCAGTGAGAAAAATGAATAAAAAGAAGACAAAGTGACAAAAGAAATAAGGAAATATCATTGATTTCCTGGGAAAAAAAGGATAAAACCTAATAATTTTTCACACATTATCAAATAACATGGTAATTTATCCAGAATATAATTATGCTAAGATTTGGCTGTTACTTGGTATCAGATGAGTTCTTTCAGCTCAGAGTGTTCTGGGGCAGGTTTTGAGGGTGGTTTCAGACATGTTTGCTGGAATTATGGCTAATATCCCTGGAGGTGTTCAAGAAATGACTGGATGTGGCAATTAGTGCTGTGGTTTAGTAGAAAAGGTGGTGCTTGGTCAAGGGTTGGATTTGGTGATCTTGGAGTTCTTTTCCAGCCTTACTGATTCCATGGTTCTGTGGGCTAGGCTAGGATAGTAAAGGATGTGGCTTCTTGAGGTTGTCAGGGCAACTTTGGGAAGTTCTGGTTCTATTATTGCGAAAGGAAGGGTGAGAGCACCAAGCAAATCCTGAGTTACAACATCAGTGCTGCATGTGTTGCAAAAACTTGGGAAAGTAAAAGCTCTTATACTTTTGTCCCCATTCTGCTGGTAGACGTAAGACATTTTTCAAAAATTAAGCCTCCTGCTTAGTACAGAACGTTAACCTTCAAAGTGTAACTTATTGGCAGTAATAACAGAGTTTAAAAAGTAAAATGAGTGCCTGTGCTCTGTTTTTCCCTGCTCTCCTTTGTAATTCAGATTTCTCTCTCTCTAGGCAAGGTTAGAAAGGACAGAAGGCAGAGGGGCCAGCACGATCTGCTGTGGGAATATGCAGCACTCAGGACATAATGATCCACTTGGCTGTGTCTCATTGAGCATCCACCAGATGACCATCAGGAACTGACAGAGGTAGAGGCCCTTTTGTCTGGTTTTGTTTGGATGTTGGTGTAACCATTGCCTCCATCCTTTTCTCTCAGCGCACTCCTTCAGATGTAGCAAAACTTGTCTGAATAAGACTGCAGGAGTGCACAAGAGCTGGGATAATTTTAGGGTTATCTTAAAATGCTCAGAAGGATTTCCATCTTAAGGGGTGGATGGAGAGGAAGCTGGCTTTAGTTCTTGTTTGACATCTTGCACCTTTGTTCCCAGGTAAAAAATTTTAAGTATCAGAACATCTAGGCAGCACCAGAATACCTCAGGGATTTTATTTGGCTTTTTAAACAAATAAGAAATCTTTCTTCACAAGCTCAAGCTCTTTTTCATGCATGCCTTACCCCTGCAGTCTATCCTTTTCCCATTCTGTTATTTTTCAGCTTCTGCATCTTCACATTTTCATCTTCATCTCAACACAGCTCTTTACATTCAGCTCATCTCCAATTGCATTCCCTATTTCTCCTCTGGTCCTCTAATGCAAAAGGGAATATTTCTGACATGCATGTGCTTACACAGTCAAGAATTTAATTGTTGGCACTGCCATCCCATGACTTCAGTCTTGTCTGAATGGGGAAAGTGACCTCTGAAGGGGATCTGGAGGCCCCCTGGCTGTTCCAATCAGTATTTGCTCCCTGTTATTTGGAGTTGTTTGGAGTGCTGCCAGCCACTCCTGTGCAGGGAGATTTGCAAGCTGCCTACAAGCTCTTGTGAAGACCTTGTCTGAATGGGAAGGATGTGGGAGTCCTTGCTGATGATACAGCTGTATGGATGGATGTTTTACCTCTTCATTTATCATTATCATTATAATTTCATTATCATTACCTTAGCAGTTTCAGCTTAATTAAAATGTAAGCACCCTGGACTGGGAGGATCAGCACAGGAACTGAACAGACATCTCCAAGAGGAATCTTATGTAGCTGGAAAGCAATGTTCATATGGATTTATGCTTTCTTTTATGCATCAAAAAAAAATTAGGTAATGTTCAATGAGTAAAGTGAGGCTGGGTTTAAAGTAGTGCTAAATGCAGGCAAAGACAGAGAAGAAGACATTACAAAACTGCAGAAATAAGGATTTTTGGAACTATTGATGGGCAATTTACAATTAGAGGAATTTTTATTATGGTAGAAGATCCCCACATAAACAAAAAAAAAAAAAGGGAATTGCCCCAAGTCCTATCAACTCTCTGTTTCGTTTATTAAACAGAAGTCAAGCTATTAAAAGATTTGCAGTTGTTTTGTACATATGAAGACTTAATATTTCTGAACAAAACCCAAACCTTTTTTCACCCAATATAAAATCATTTCACATCTGCTCAAAATCCCAACAGTCTTCTGTGTGGCAGCAACTTCCTCTGGGAAGGTAGTCCAGCAGAAGAAATTCTGGGCCTGTTTCCACCTCTGAAACACATTTATTGTTTCCATTGCTTCTCAAACCTCATGGTAATCGTACTTCAAGTCTGCATATTTATTATGGAGGTTGAAGTCTGCAAGTAACCAAAACCCAGAACTATCCATTCCAGCCCTCCTTCCTTAGCAAAGACATTGATATTATGAGGGCTTTGGTTTTGTGAATCACAATGGGAAAAATCTCGTGAAATGTTGGAAGGAAAGCTTTTCTTGTGGTTAAAAATATAGCATCTGCAATAATTCCATGAGAAGAATAAAAGTGAGTTTCTTCCCGTGTAGAGGATGCTAAATAGGACTTTTTAAAATGGTACCTTTTCCTAGGACAATTATGGAAGAAAAACAGCTTTCCATGAATCTAACAGCTGTTTTAAAGGCTCAGCTGGCAGCATCATTTCCTATCATGCAGAAGATCTAAGTTCAAGATCACACACAAGTTTTTGTCTTCTCAAAAGGCAGCAGGAAGTGAAGGTGGCATAAAGAAAATTACAATCTTACTGCAACGGCAAACAGAAATCTCTCTGTGATCATGAGCTGAGTTTGTGTTTCCTGTACAAAAGTAGCAAGGAGTTAGAAGCAGATAATACTCCCTAGAATGGCTTGACATCCATAGCTGGGTGAGAATTGTCTTTTTCTTTAAATTTACAGTGGCTGCATCTGATGTTCCAGAAAATGATGGATCAGTACAGTCCTATAAATCCCAAACACATATGTAGTATATCTTTTCAGAAATAACTTACAAAACAGCCTTCCAGAGGAGGAGAGGTCTGCAATAATGACAGCACCCTGACAGTGCAATAAAGAGGAATTCATTATTCAGACTGCAGGGGTTGACAATGGCCAGAGGGCAAATGCATAAAATAAGAAGAAAGAGTCAATGCTCAAATGTCAAAAACTCTCTGCCACAAGAGGAAAAAAAGAGAAATGTGTTCAAAATATATTTCCTCTGTATAGGAATGATGGTGGTGATGGTAATAATAACATTTATCTGAGTATGATAAATATTGCCGAGGATGAAGCATTATATGACATCATCTGTGTATAAATAAACTGTCCCTTTCCAGTTTCCATTGCCATAAAATAAAAAAGAAACTTTTGCAATCTAGAAAGTGGCAGCAAACCAAAGAGTTAAATATGTAGGATGGTTGGTTTTGTGAGTAATCCTAATTGACAGTTTTTAAGCTACTGTTCAATTCTAGAAACAAATCTGATTGTTATCATTATTTCTTTTATTACCTGAAGAGGATAATATCTACTCACCAGTGCAACTACTTCAGTGTGAAATTTTGCAGGCATAAACTGCACCCTTAAACAAGATCTCAATCCCACAAAGGAACAGCAATAAGCTGGGCAAAAGCCCAGTTGTTTTTGTGGAGTTATTTAGTTCTAAACAAACTTCCCTTGCAGTCTGTCTGTTTTTTATTTTTAGTTCCTCCTTCTTTGCTATTGAACGCTTTTGTAAGAAGGAAGGATTCTTGTTCTGTATTTTTCTTCCCCTGCCATTTCCCATATGAAGCTACAGTCCTCTGATGGCTTGCATGAAGAGGATTAGAAACATGTCATCACTAATTGCAGATGAGGATTTAAAGGAGAGCTGGGCAGGAGAAGCACAAAGATGAGATTGCCTGACCTTTCTTGATTAGGCTGTGGATGTTCTGTGCCTGCCTCCCACATCTGCCCTCATCTTATGGTAAAGGAAAATGGTTGGTTGTTGAACAGGATGAAAGACTGATTTCTGCACTGCTCCTAAAGACCCATTTCTGCCATGAGGACTACATAAAGTTGGTTGGCTCATAATGCACAAGGCAGTGTGAAGTTGCAAAGAGGAATCACTTTTAACTCAAAGGAAAAAAAAAGCCAGATTACACTTGTGGGATTGTTTCTTTCTCCCCAACAGATTTTTTTTTTGTTTGTATTAAACTGTAAACTGAGTCACTGTATCCTCACACGCACCACACAAGTGTGAAAGTAGCAGTGGCTAAGCAAGTCCTCACCATCTGTGAGCATTCCCACTGCTTAATGTCAAACCAGTACCAGTCTGGCTAATAAGGTTAAGGAATTACATAACTTAAGTGGAATTACAACAGAATTACACCAGTGTGTGCTCCCCTCTCTTTTGCTTCAGGATGAATCAATTATGAAACATAAATCCAAGTAATGGATAGAATATTTATAACCATTTAGGCTCCCAGGCATTGATTAACCATGACTGAGAGAACTCCTTCTTGTGGAAATGAATGTTGGATCATAAAGAACCTGTAGGTTCCCATCTAGGGCTGTGAACTACTTGGAAGGACATTTTACTCTAGCTCTAGCACTCTTTGAAAGGTTGAAGTCTGAGGAGATAAGACACAAGAAGGAGGGCCAAGTAGTCAGAGTTGCTTTACACTCTTCTGTATGGATCATTCCTCAGTGAGTCACATAAGTAGAGGAAATCTAATGAAGATGCCCCTTCATCTGCTTTAAAAAACAATAAACAATGCTACATTCTTCAGGCCTTGCAACAAGGTCAAAAGTTACTCAAGAGTTCCAAAAAGTGGTAAAGATGAGCCAGAGTGATATGAATTATCTTCAGACTTGTAAACCACAGAGTTTTGTCACAATTTTCAGGATTTGTCTGTCAAGCTTTGACAGATTAGGAATCTGAAAAGGATGATTTCTGGATTAAGACTGAAAATAAAGCCTGAACTTCACTTTCAAGGAGAAAGTATGTTTATTTTGATTAATAAAGAAATATGCAGTAAAACTACCTCCTTCTCTGCCAACATAGTTATAACCACAATTCCACATCTCTGTCACTCCCATAACAAATTTTGGGCTCTTGTTTTGGCAATAAAAATGTCTTTTACAAAGTGATTTGGAGAACAATCTGTGACTTATTTAAGGAAATAATGAAATACCTCAGTCTGCTCACAATTAAAGGTAAATAGCATTTTTAGCTGCATTAATAGACTTCTTGATGTAACCTGCTGGTTCTTGGTCATCTAAGTTTATGATGTACACCAGTATCTTTCTGCAAAATCTCTGTTGCTAAAATGGGCTCATTTTCTTGTCACTTAATCACTCAATTGGAGCACTTCTAGTGAGGAAAAACAGGGATTAACAGATGGAGAAATAAATAATGGGATTAAAAAAGGTGCATGTTGTTTCTGGACTGGTACAGCAGGCTGTGTGCTGCCTGTTTCACAGACAAATGTCTTACACCCCAAAAGGTCATGTCTCTAGAGCAGGCAGCCCTTCAGTCCTGTGTAACATTCTTTTAGCAAAGTTATCATATGGCTCAAACTTTCCTGAAACAGTGACTCTCTTTTAAAGTATAGCTATTGGTGATGCAAGATTTAAAGGAGACAAAGTTCTTGGAAAATGAAAGGAAATCTTGCCATAAGCTTTATCAATGGCTTGCCAACCCTTTGGAGACAGACAACTTTGGTGTTGGTTCATCTTTACTCACAGTTTGGGGTTCTGGATATAATGCTGGCTTACAGGAACATGTTGGGACTAACTCCCTTCTTCCTGATGCAGGTGCTGCTGCTGGAAGAGTTTTTGGGGAAGAGCTGTGAAACACAGAAATGGTGATGGATATACAGCAGGGGACCACTAAAGTAAGACTAAAAAGTGGTAAAGACCACTAAAGGTACTTGTTTATATTTTTCTTCTAGAGGAGGTCTGTAGAGCTAACATAAATGTTTATATTATCCTTCACTGCTGCTTTCAACTAAATTCAATTTAAGAATCTCAACTTTTTCACAATATTTGTTTGCGAGGCCCTGGTGAATGCAGCTCCAAAGGATGCTGCTGGCAGAGGTACCTTTTGAAACAGATGTGTTTAATGGTGATGTGCAGTTAAAGAATTGCTCTCCATTCTGCTAAATTACATTTTGTTTCAGCACTCCAATCTTTAAGCCATATCCAGAAGCTGGATCTGTTTAGGAAAATTCACTGGCAGCCTGGCTGAGATTACATCTCAAGCAATCATTTTAATATGTGGTTATAAATCACTTCTAACTTTCTGCACGTAGAGTGTTTTCTGTTGATGTATTTGAGAACATTGTAGAGAGGTTTGTAATTAAATGAGG